ATTGGTTTTTATTTTGTCGTACTGATTCTTTAAAATTTTCTCCAGCAATACCTCAAAGTGCTTCGAATTGTTTTTTCGTGTCATTTGTCCCCTTCTCACTATTATACAATGGCATGGCAAAAATGTAAACGGCCTTCTTTTTTAATGATTGATCCTCTTTCTTCGGGACATAAAATAAATTAAATTGATCGATATTTTTATATTCAATTATTTTTTGTGAAATTATTCCACTAGTTTGTTATAAGTATTAATACAAATATCGAACATTCAGAAAAAAATCCTTCGAACCGATTGTATAAATTAACTTTATTAGCTTTATGTTGGGCCTCAAAACTAAGACAAATGAGCATTAGAAATAAAATTTACATACTTATTTTTGAAACTTAATAAATGTTGATTATGTTCGTATACCAATATAATATTAATTACAATATGATTTGACCTGAAAATATGTTCGGAAACGCAAGCAAATTGGCTTCTGGTTGCTTTTTCATAGTAAATGACCTAACCAAATCTAATCTACTGAATGGAGGGGACCAAGCAACCAAGATTTATTAAGAGATCAATATCAAAAAACATACTGGTTATAAATGTCATCAATCGTTAAAAGAAAAGACACAATGATAAATGAAGAGGATCAAATATTATTTTTTTAAACCAAATATTAATTTGCTATGTTTAAAGATAACAATAGTGCTAATAATTTATCCATAGATCAAGTAATATAGATGAAACAATTTTAATATATATATATATATCAAACATAAAAAGAATATCGTTTATTTAAAAAATGCACATTTATAATAGATCAATTATTTCTTTGAGGATCAAATAATATTATCCCCTATACAAAGCTCCAAATGTATTTCTTTGTCAGTCGTTTCCTGGATCAAAGGAGAATTTAAATTATTGTATTAATCTGTTCATAATTCGATAACCTCAACATAGTTAATAACTTTATTACTACAAAATTAATGTGGAATGTTATAAGAATGCGAAGGACAGTGTTGTATGTTCAGAGACAATTCCCATTGATATGGAAGCAGAAGTGTTCACAATGATGCTTGTGCTAACGTTGAGTACACAATTGAGTGTTGTATAAGCTTTGATGTAATTAGTTCTATAGGATGTAATCGGTATATAAATAATAACTATGCTTCTACTCCCAGCATTATCTTTATACATATGTCTACCATCGCTTTGAAAATACAAAATTTTTTAACAATGCAAATACGTTTGCACAGATTTTTTTGTTACAATACCAAGTGATTGTATGAACAAATCAACAAGTCGTGCACCTGGTGGTAAACGGAACGCCTGTCTATAGCAGTTGCAGTTGCAGTGCTACTTAGAGTTTTAAATGTGAGGCCAGACGAGCGTAATTTTGTGAGTTGTGAGTCGCGTAGTTTCCGCGACGACGACGCAAAATGAGTTCTCTGCCGACTCACGGGTGTAATGACGACTGAGTTTCGGTCGCATCGTGCGACGGGATGGAGCAGGTGGAGGTAGAGTTGAGCGAAGGGGTCACTTTGGAATAGGTGCGCGCGTTTCTTGAACGACTTACTTGATTGTTATTGTTTGTCTTTCCTCAGGAGTGATGGCATGTCTCATATTTGTATCTGACTTAGTAATCAAAGGTTTTACTATGCTTAAACATTCTTGAAAAACATTTATTGGCATTTAATAAGTACTTAATAAATTCATCTGGATGTTCACATAAACTTGTATAAGTATAATAAGTATATGAAACTACCCACACTTTAATCGTTTCATATTGAGTAGATGCACCCAGCTTCTTTTTCTAACATCGTCTTCTAAATGCTTCATTAATGCATTTTATTTTTAATAGATCCATTGCACTTACGATACAAACACCCTGTATAAATGCTTAAAAGCAACTGAATTAAATACGTTCGTTTGGCGCTCCAACAGAATTTCAACAAGTCACAAAATTACGCTCGTCGGCCTCACCCTAAATCGCAAAGATTTGAGGGGCGGAAAAGTCCCATGTGCTTGTTATTTCACCAGCATCCTTTCCCATCAAAACAGACACACAATAAAGCTCACATTACCGCTTGATGTCAGAAATAGGTAAGGTGGCAGTACTTCATGAGAAAGAACCCTTTCATAATGACCATTATTGCTACTAAATCCAGCAAAAATGTCTTACGCGTTTGTCTGTGATATACAAATTTTCTCCCTAAATTTCTATATACCAGACATTTTTTCTGGCAGCTACAGCAACGATTTTCAATTTTCATAGGGTATGATTTTAGCACATATCAAAATGGTTTCCTGTAATAAAGTTTTATTCACATGGAACTACGAAATGATTTGCACTTTGTAGTTTAATGGCATTAAACTTTGTCATGGGAACTAAAAACATCTTTGTCGGCTCTCAGCCAATAAATTTTTTTTCGATTGTAACAACTGATCACAATGGTAACTGTAAAGTAAGAAAGTAAAGAATAAGTATTCGGATAAGAACTAAGCCTCAAATAAACGCATGCCCAGTCACAAGGCATAATTCATAAACGCGTCACAGATCACAGGCTTCGGTATCAGTGTCACGTGTCACTACGACTGCGATAACCTAAACACGACCACCCGGGCTTGTGTCACAATTGTTCATTGTTGATATCTAAATATGTATTTTCATAGTGCTTGGTTGCTAGCTAGGTGTTACGAAAATCATCCTTCGAAAAGTAGGCTGTGGAATTTCGACTTTAGAGCTTCGGGCGATGACCGTCTCCAGGTAATAACCGGCAAATGGAAAAAATTACGTTTCCAAGTCACTGAATACGTCAGTATCGTTAGTTCTATTTAGGGCTATAAAGGTTAGGACCTCGTAGGGCTTGACTTGTTCACTTCACCTTTCCATGAATGTCTCCGCTATAAATAAGACATTACGAAGTCGGCGGTAGACGCTTTTTTATACGTAGAGCAATTCAATTCCATAGGTAGGTACTAGTTGCAGGAGTACTAACAGGATTTAACAGCTAGACGCACAAAAAAAAACGTGGAAGGTTGAGCGGGCGCCAGGCATCTATCGCCAGATGGAAAGTCACTTACGACGCCAGATAGATTTAGGCTGGTCATATAAAAGTAGTTGGGGATTAGCGATGCACGATGATGAATCATTCGAATAGGCAAATCATTTGTTTAAGTCGAATCCCAGCCCAATCATTCAACTCCAGTCGAATGATTACCGATACCAAATGCCCCTACCATTCGGTTAGGTGCAAGAGTCAAATGATTACTATGTCCAAACTCTACCGTCACATTTACAGTATTTACCATATTATGTCAGAGACGGCTAGGTGGTCACGAGTATCATTGTGCTCTATGGAATCTATGGATTAGTAATGAATGATCATTTAGATCATTCGAATACGAAAATTAGTAGGTTACTAATTTGTCATTCGAATGACAAGTTTAATAATTACTAACGAGTCCAATGTTAAAATCATACGCAATAGCGCATTTCCATCGGGGATTACACAGTATTGTACATCTACTTTATGCTAAGGTAGGCAATTAAACATTGAAATACTCTAAATACTAATGACATAGACTAAATTAAATGAACGAATAGGGTCTCACAGTAGTAAGACATACGCTCAAAATGTTAACAAAATGCCTTACCCGTAACCTGTTTTAGTTTTTGAATTTTTAAATGGGAGAGGCGAATGTCGCCTACGGCATAATGTCTAACATATTGGGCAGTACATAGCTTTCTGCAATGAGCTGGAAGCGACACACCACATAAATCTAGCCGCCTCAAGTTGTTATAGATGCTGGTCGGAATTAACCGGTTTTTTAAATTGGGATTATTTCAGCGGAGGCCACAACTCAAATAACCCAGAGCACTTTATCGAGATGTTTCTTAAGCCGGGTGGGTACTCACTGGGGAACTGCAACCGTGATCGTTATATATTATGTAACCAAAAATCATAGTGTGTACGTGGTTCGCGAGTTTGCAGTGAACCATCTGATTGAAGATTATTTCAAGCGTACACACTACAATCTTGTTACTGTATCTCTCACGTTACAGTTTACAGCTCGCTTTCCTTAGCCTTCTTATCCGGTTTTCTCAGGGCCAGCAGCAAAATTGATCCATTATGCTAACTACTAATTAGAACTCAGAATCAACACCTACAGAATCAAAGAACTGCAAGATTATCCTGGCCTCAATTGTCATTCAGCTGGGGCATACGTTTACTCAAAAGCGAGTTTCATAAATGCCCAATGGGGCAGCATTGGCTTGAGAGTAGTGTACCATTACTTCCCACATAAGTTAAAACCAACATACCATCCAATAAAATCATCATTTGTAAGAGTTTGTTCACACTAATGGGACGATTAGGAATGTAGTCCATTCGCCTCTAATGATCCGGGACCTCTGTCCACATTAAGTGTCTTAAGGAATTTCATCGGCGCACGCGCATTCCAATGGTATCTTTAACAATTTATATTATTATTGGTCAAAGAATGTTCTGTTTTTGAATATAGTTTCTTTCAAACAGCGAACTATTTGTTAGCGATATCAATTCGTTTGCCATTTCAGTTATTATTCTTTTTATTTTAAAGCTACCGGCTTTCAAATTCTTGTAAATTACGGAAGGCAGTTTGCATGAAGGGTAAACAAAGACCTCTTATAATATTTATTTTTATTGAAGATCATGATATTTTTACAATCAAGTCATTTATGCGTTATGTCGACTGGACTCGAACCAGCTACTTTTACGCCAAATAGGCGCTATCGCTCTCCCAACTGAGCTACGGAATGAGTCAGCATACTTTACGAATTTCTCTATGAGCTTGTTGCAGATTTTTGTTACTAACTGCTTTTTTGCCAAAGCGCCACCTATGAAATTATGTATTTGTTGCGTGTATTTAGACAATCAGACGTGGATGGATTGTATTTAAAAAATATTTCAGTAAATGATAAAAAGCTTGTCTGCATTCGAGAGTGATCAGCTCATGTTGTTTCTTTTCAGACGCACAAGCTATACGCGCTGCGATACTGGGGCTGCGAGTTGCTGTGCCTGGTGAACATCGTCTTCCAGTTATGGATGATGGACCGGTTCTTCAACGGGGAGTTCTTCACCTACGGCACCAGAGTTCTAGGGTATAGCGAGGTGCCGCAAGAAGAAAGGTGAGTTTGAGTACCGTTAGACTCTCTGTGGCATTGAGATTGGCCTTAGTAGGGAGCCCTGTAGGAGCCCTAGTGACGTGATGTACTTGTAATATTGAAAAGTCCCTGCGCAGCTCTAGTAACAGCCCTGTGGTGGTACAGTCAAGTAACGTATTATAAATCCGATTTTCGTATATTATCAGTTAACTGAGTCGGTTCCTGAGGTAGCTGCGCGGTGCGGGGCGAGTGACACGTTGAGTTTACGTAACAATTATGCGTTTCACACGGGATAAATTCAACAAGATTTTTCTGACGATATTCAATAACAAGTTGATTGAAATTAAATGATTGTAACAGGTTAACATAATTAAATTAACGTTTAATAAACCAAATTTGAAAAAGACCAAAAACTTTACGAAATTTACACGAATGCAAAATCAACCAGGAACCATTCGACAAACATGTGAGTAGGAAATTGAAACAAATAAATGACCTAAAATAAAAAAGTAAAATAGCCGGCCAGTCTTTGGAAAATCGACTATATTATCTTATGGATTTTATTTTTTATTATCGTGTACTTAGAATAATAACGCATAGAATGATAGTTTCATATCGAACAAACTGTCACAAGTGAGGCAAAAATCAAATTCATGTAGGCTAGTTTTAGTAGTAGGTTAATTTTCGGTTTTAGTGAATATTTATATAAAAATACAATTTGAAATGCGTTACTTCCTTGTGAAATGTGATGTTAGTATCTATTTTATGTGTCTGACGTATTTTTACACTCATTTACCGCACATTTCGTCATTTTTAGCTAAAATTCTTGAGCTGTTCGCGGTGCAAGTTGACCTTGAGCACTGACGGCCCGCCCGCTCGTGTAGGCCCTTTTGAAGCGCTTCAATTTGCCTCACTTAGCGTGTGCGGACTAGGTATCTATGCGTTATTATTCTAAGATCGTGTATATATATATATATTATTAAAACAGCAGCTTTTACGCCTCGTCTTCTACGTTGCAGATATGATCCAATGATCTACGTGTTCCCGCGTGTAACGAAATGTACATTCCACAAATTCGGCGCATCAGGCAGTATACAAACGCACGACAGTCTCTGCATTCTGCCTCTGAACATTGTCAACGAGAAAACTTACATCTTCATTTGGTTCTGGTACATCATACTTGCAGTTTTATTATGTCTCCTCGTTATATACAGGTGAGTGTTTATGATTTTCATTTTTTTCCATAGCTCCATCCATGTTTATTCTGCTGCCTTCACTAGAGTAAAGGAAAACGTTAACCATCGGAATATTGTGGTAGTGCATAATATAGTCGTCGACAGTTAGGCGTAAGAACAGTAAACTAATAAAGAAAATTTTTGAGCTTAAAGCGATTGGAACATAATTTGCTGCCCTTTTATAAATTTAAATGGAATCAATACTGAGATACCCTCTTTCCAACAACAAAAAATCATCATCAAATTCAGTTCACATTTGTGCCGGAGTCATCGCGTAATATACGCAAAAAAATACAGTCAAGTTGGGAATATCCTCCTTTTTGGAAGTCACTTAATAAAATTATGACTATAATAACGCACACACTCAACATCAGCACTAGTAGTAATGTTGTGAAACCTACTACTAGGGAAACCCTGTGTCGCGGCTCACACATATAGACAACCACAAATGACACCCAAACTCACAAGAGAAATAAATGTAGGCCATACAAATATTTCTCCAAGCCCGGGAATCGAAACTGGGACCTCTGCGTGGCAGTCCGGCCTGGCATGGTAACCGTTCGGCATCGGAGGCATTTAAAATAAGAACTGCCGGAGAAATTTGACACAAATTCGACGTTGACAAGCGCCTGATGGCGACTGACGGGGCAGCGGGTAGCGCGGCGTGTCGTTTAAGCACTGAACAATTTACAAGTTTTGGGATAAATGTGAATTTAATAGGTCTTCAGGTGAAAACCAAAAATTTAGCAGGTTCCCTGTTGTACTTATTTAAAAATTATGTGGAAAGTTAGGCATTTTTTTCTTAAATAATTCATTCTAGACTTTTATTTTGGCCTTTTTTTGGACTTTAGATGATCGCGTAAAGTACACACCATCGTGTAACAAACTAACAAATTATTTAGGTAATATCCTTAGGTGTAGGTATCGTATAATTCCAACGCTTATTCTTTCTACAGATTAGTGATAATCTTCGTGCCGTCGGTGCGGCCTCGACTTCTGCATGCGCGCTCGCGCACCCTGGCGCGTGAGACTGCCGTTGTCGTCTCCCGCAGGACCGACCTTGGAGATTGGTGGCTGCTCTACATGCTCGCCAGAAACATTGACCCCCTTATTTACAGGTATGCAACCTTTGCTATAATTAAGCCAATTGTGAGATCGCGTCAAAAGTGCTAATTGAATTTTTCATTTTCTGTTTTTAATGTAAACAGCTTTATTTTATTTACTGATATTACGAAATTCGAAAAAAAAAAACGAATTCTGTGAAAAAGAGTAACGAAACAAATATAAAAACAGAAATGACCAAAAAATTGAGTTGGCGTGTGTTCTTTGGTGGTATCGATATGATGGGTCCGTTCGTTATGTCCCCGGTTTGTTATACCCGATGCCCCTGTGGTGTATGCCCCCATTTTTGGATTAGTTAAGATAAATGCTATTTTTTAGTAAAATGTACTGGCAGGCACAGAAATGCTTTTACAAAAACAAAAAAGATTAATAGGTAGGTAAGTATATCATATTTGCCGCTAGGAAAATATTTTTTTTTTAATAAATCACAAAAATAATACGATTTACTTTACGATTTATTTGCTTAAACAGGCATAAAAAATATCGAGTAATTTCTATCGTAGTATGTTAACATAATTTTCTCTCCTAAAAAGTTGTCATTTAGCAGATGGGCCTTATTGCACCAAAAGGTGCGTAATGTTTCTAATGGTATCTTCATGGTACCTCCTAATTGTTTAATCTTTTTTACCTTTTCGTTTAGAAATCAGTAGTCTCCTCTTGGTAAACCGTGGCGGATTTGCCCTAAGGCCCAGTAGGCCTGGGCCTAGGGCGGCCAGATTTCAGGGGCTGTCAATCGTGACAAAAAATTCACTGATATGACAAGAAATAACTCAAAGTACCTAAATATTCTAAAGGCTCACGCACAATATGGCGGGCCACGCTGCACCGCATCGTATAACAATCTTCCTAAATCACTGTCGTACATTTTATGTGTAAAATATAGATATGTCTGCCAGTAGAAAAAAAATTGATAAATGGTTAGGGATATTGTGGAATGGTACCCAAGAGAGGGAAAAAGGAAGAAAGGGAGACCATACTGTGACGGTGTGACCTCCTTACACCACCATCTCACCTCTTTGTATCGCCTCTCTCCGCTTGTATCCTATCATTTTTTTTATTTTACATGTATTTAAATTTTTAATATGAATTGTTCCATCTTCCTTCACTTTCTCATTTTGTTTTCGTACCACGGTCACTCCCAGCTCGACCGCCACAACAGTCGGAGCTGTTCCAAATTCCATTTACTAAAATCTTATTTTTGATTCTTTACCAAGTTATATACAAAACATATAATACAACAGTCGGAGCTAAAGAATTATCAAAAATTTGCTGCAATAGTTTTTCGACCAAAAATGAAGCCATAAACCCGGATGTAATGGTGCCGCCATTGAAACCCTGGCTATTACACGAATATAAAGATTTGTACATACGCTTTCTGGCGCTTTTCAATACTTTAGATTGGAAGACGATTTTAAATATGTTGCTGGAGGAGCATGGAGGCAAACAGTAAAAGATAGGGAGAAATGGAAATCTCTGGAAGAGGCCTATGTATTAGGACAAGCTGAAGGTACCGAGTAAAGAAATTGAGAAATAATAAATAAGTAAAATATAATAAGTACGCATGTCATACAATGTGTTAGGTAAGTTAGTAAGTTATCAGCAATAAAGGCTATAAATAAATAATATGAAGAGTGCTGAGAAAGAGCCGTCTGGTACTGACTACATGGCCTGGAGCCTCGGGCGGCCAAGAATGCAAATCCGCCACTGTTGGTAGGGTTGGACCCTTAAAGTCCAGGTGTTCGTTTTTGTTCTATTCTGATAATAATAAATTATTATTTTGTCCATAAATTGGTTAATATTCTCCAGTCTCGCCAACAACTTCAGGATTAGTAGTATAAACACAAAAAGTGGTGCTGTTCGAGCAGCAGTAGAGTTCCTTGTGAAAGAGTTTGTCCAGGGAAGTAAGACCACCTTACCTATTTCTGCCGCCAACTACTAGTGTGAACATTACTGCGTTCCAGTTTCGAAGGGTAAGGGTGCCGGTGAAATTACAGGCACATGGGACTTACGTGTCTGAGGGTCGTATTCTAGAACTCTACTCAATGCTCAAGTCAGGATTTGAGTATGGTTTAAAGCACTCAAAATCATACTCAAGTCCCTGCCATTAGGGTCGTATTTCCAGTGCTTGTGTTTCCAGTGCAATCCTAACTTGAGCATTGAGTAGCAGAAAAATTGTTAGGTATCGTTAGCCGGTTCTTGAACCTACTGTGCCATTGAATGAATACCACCTCTCTCATTTAAAAATTTAACTTCTCACGCATGACAGAGGCGAGAATCTGAAATAGATAACTCAAATCATCACTTAAAAAAAATTAATTGAACAAAGTTATGTGGCGTGTTGCTTTTTTAAATTATCAAATTAAATTTGGGAAGAAGCTGTAAATACATTTTGAACAAATAATAATATAAATTCTTATAACAAAGATCGAAACTCTAAGAAAAATTCACTCGATCCGGCTGGATTCTAACCAGCACCCTCAGGAAATCCGTGCCAGATGCTCTGCTAATTAAACCACTTCTTCACTCGAAGAGGTTACCTTTAAAAATGACAAACAATCATATGTTAAACGTATCTTTGTTTCTAGAGAGTTAATCTTGGAACTGGCGAAACGCATGAACGAGAAGGCGGGTCCACGGGCGTGACGTCGAGCCCCGCCCAGCGCGCCATCGCCGCCGCCAGACCCCATCGCCACCATAGACGTCTGACACTGAACCCACACGCCACCGCCCCACATTCAAATTTGCACTGTCCTCAAAATGGAGTTCAGGATTTGGAGTTTATTATATAAGATGCACTGGGGGACATAGTTGTTGGATGGAAAAAGGTTATTACAATATTTAAAATATGTATAGGACTTTATAACTGGGCCCTAGTGATTCGTTAATTCTAATAACGGAGACAAAATATTCAAGTATGATTATAATTTTTCATGTTATGCAGTTGGATTTTTAATTATAGATATAATAAACTGACGGTGGGTTGCTAGGTTTTGATTAAATGAAAATAGTGTTGTCTTTTTCTTTTTACTTTTTCATTTACTGATTCACTCAGTCGTCAACAAGTTAATTATCTTTTTAATAATTTGTAGACATTATAATTATTATTACAAAGATCGAACGCAAAATAAATTCGCTCTGACAGGACGGATAGGTCAAGGATATATTTTATAATTATGACAAACTAGAGGAATAATTTCACAAAAACTAAATGAATATCATGGTTGTAAAAAATTATGATAAAATCAATATTATATGCAACAAGTCATAAATCTACTACTTTCGAAAAGTTTTCTGTATTTATATGTAATATTAATTTTAAGAAATCCAACTTTTCATGACAGAACAATAAAGTGCATGTACAGTAAATGTAAATGAAATAATTTATTAATAGAGTAACAGTAAAAAAAAACATTTCTTTTTGACTGATTCTTTTTCAGTTTATGGAGAAGTGAACCAAACACATCACTATACAATAAAATGGCAACATTATTTTTCAAAGTGACATGAGCTGTCAGTTTGTTATCTTTAATTAAAAATGTTACTAAGCAAACCGACGGACTGGAGTATTAAATTTAACAATGTATATTTTATGCTATTACGATTGTAATAAGGTATACATTGCAATAATATACATTAATGAAGTCAATGGCCTGCGCTGGCCCTAATATTAAAATGACTGACGGTATTATGAGGGCATAACATCAGCTGGAATTCAAAATTTTCCCGTACTAAATCGATGAATCGGTTCTTTTGCGCGGGCCGAGTGGCTTTATTTCAGTGCTTACTTTTTTACAAACGATATTAAATGAAAATAAAGCCATCTGAAAAATGTATATCGTATACTACTCGTGTTCTGTTTAGTTCAGTTGATATAAAAAAAAAACAGCGGTTTTCTTGTAAAATTTCGAAGTTCGTGTTTCTTTTTTTCTATTGTGAAAATTTTTAGGAATTGTATTTTCACACCGTATGCTAATCAGTGTATATTCTCAATTTTACTGCGTATTATTTCCAAGGTGATTGATTCAACACTTTGACTGTTATTTGGAATAAACCAAAGCCATTTGAGGTTATATCGACATTTAACTGATTTCCAAATAAAACATAATGAAATATTGCGGCGCCATCTATTGGTTATAGTCTTGAACTAGGTGGTAGAGAAGAGTTAATCGACTTTTCGAGTTA